TACAGGAGCACTAATGGTGGAAAATGTATTCTTTAGGAACCAGAACTGTGTCTTTTTCACCCTTGGTTTGTTTCAAGGGCTGTAGCATATTAAGGATATACAAGCTGTTAGTCATGAATACCCAACGTCGTAGAGGAAAAACCTTGTCTCGGCTGCAGAGTAAAATTTTCCGTGCCATGCATTACCGTGTTGACTTTCATGCTTGACTCAGAATCACCTTGACATTGGTTTCCTGGTGCTGAGCACATTTGGAGATGAATCTGGACACTTGCTCTGTGTCTGCAGTACAACAGAGCGAGCCATATGTATCATTAACCTCTCTGCACCCACAGCAGCTGGTGATTAAAGCCGATTACTGGCCCACAGTGACGGCCGTACAGCCGGTATAAAAAGTGGACACACTGTTAGAATGACAGATTTCCTGGTGTAAAACAATAATGACAAGACATTTAATTTGAGAGACTTTTTATGTAAGAAGATGATTTTAGAGTAATAAAAAGTCAAATAAAAATAAAATTTTAAATTGTCACATCTTGTTAATATGACTGTGAGGGTACATCAAGTCACACCACAGGTATCGTATTCAATCTGATCTCCAACTGCGTCATTTCATCGTTTCAACTCATGCTTTAGGCTGTTATTTATTCCAATTTGTGAATTTCTTCTCCATCTTTGGCTGTCTTAAAAACACCTGCTTTTTCCTGCCACACTCTGTGGTGCTTCTAACTGTTTACAGTTGCCCCTATTCTGACTAAAGCCCCAGTCCATCTTTTAAAACTGCCCCAAAACGTAGAACTGCCACCAGAATGTATTGCACAACAAAGCCAAATAATGTATGACTCACAGTCACTATTTAACTACATGTGCTCCCATCTTTGTCTTTTTTTTAAAATGCCATCCACTTATCTAGAGTGTGTGGACTTTCCTAAATTCACCGTTGAGCCTTAGACAGCAGACTCTTCTCCCTCCTCCACACCTCCTGTCTGGGTCAGAGTCAGCTGCATCCTGCTGCCTCACGGAGGAAGGAATGTGACACAATACATACTCCAAAAAGGATGCCGTTCACTCATCCATGCATTGATCGTGTCAGGAATCACAGCTGGGGAGACATTCAGTCTTTTCTCTCCTCCAAAAGAACTGATGCAAATTTTTGTCCCAGATTTGTGTTTAGCAAACCAAAAATGACAAATTTGCCCTGTGCCCTGCGTAGGGGCAGACGTCTGATGATGAAGTACTGACACATGGAGTGTATGTGGCCATCTCTAGCCTATTTGTAGAAACAGCCCCCACTTCAGATGAGCATTAATCTGATTAAGAGCACAATTTATTTGTGTTTCTGTGCTCAACAGAAACCCTTCCTGTTCCACGCGCTGCTTGCCAGTGAAACTAAAGATCTGGATGAATGGTCGACAGCTGTGTATATACAACGAGCTCTTCAGTGAAAAAAACACTTGGAGTAAATCATTCCTCACACACTGTATACAAGTACAAGTGCAGTGACAATACAGTCGGTGTGGTGTATCCTATACTGCATATGTTCCATTTCGCTCTGGTTTATACCTTATTTAGAAGTTTTTACTGGTGAATGCTGGTACATTTTGGAAATCAAACTACTGAAGCCATAAAGGTGAAGTTGTGTGGGAACTCTGAATATTGTAATATTTCATGACAAAATCTACTTTCAGCTACATTTATCCAACGGGATAACATTGTACAGAAGCTTAAAACAAGCTGTCCACAGATGGTGATTGAGGGTTGAAATTAAAAAGCTGGATTTTTATCACCTGCAGATTTCAAGTCCAGAAACGTGCAGCCATAACAATGGCAGTAAAGACGTCTCCCTCAGAGTGACAGCTCCCGAGCCTCACTTCATAAACCTGTCTCTGGATTATGTGCAAGGCAGAGACACAGTCTAAATAGTTGTCCATGCCGCTCAGCAACGGAAACTGCTCCTATGTGATAATATTCTAACTGTTAATAGTGCATTTAAGAGCCTAATGCACAAGTCTGTGCAGAGTTCATATATTTTTTTATAAGGAGCAAAAATCACAAAAACACAATCTGAAAGGCTGTTTCTTTTTTTATTTCTTTATTTTATTGTCGCTTTGGCACATGATCTGCTTTCCCATGGCTAACCCTGAGAATTTATTCAAAATGCAAAGCAAATGCATTGTTGTATTCAAGTGATAATAAACAGTTTGTGTTTGTACTTCCTCTAAACATAAAACCCCAAATCTGGCTCCAAGATTCCAAAAAGTCTGCGTCAGTGTAACCATAGTGCTGCAATTTGGATAAATGGTGGAGATGAAAGCAGAATTACGTTTTTACATGCCTGCACATTTTTCTTAAAGTGCAAATGTCTGGGTATGTAATTACACACAATAAATGCTGTTTTTTCAGGAAATGTGTGTATGTGTATCACTTCACAAACATTAAAGCTGATGAAAATGGATACACTGCACCGAGGCACAGCCCAGGTTTTTGAAAGTCCCTGATCTGATGCCACTGAACACAACAGTGCTGTTAAACTAATCGATGGTCTTTATCAGCAGTTCCTGACTTTTTTGGCTGACACCATGTCCTCTTAAAATGAAGCACCGTCTGAGCCACTTCCTCACATAAATCCATTCTACATCAGCAGTTAAACAACGTCATTTTCTGATCTTTACTAATTAATTTTATGTGAATAACTTTCTGCACCAACATTTACTTGAGACACACAAAGTCCTGCCATTATATGCTCTAACTAACTTTCAATGCTCTTTTCACTTTGGTGGATTTCTCTCAGTTTTTAAATGGTTAATTTTCAGTTACATTTTATTTTTATAGCTTGTATATCCTTAATATGCTACATTTTATTTTTGTTATATGACATATAATAAACTCTTTATAATTTAAAATATTACAAAATACAGCAAATGTGATTTTTCCATAAAACGAATAAAAAACATTACAATTAGTACCAGATGTTTAATTACACAGTACACATTCATATTAGAGTATTTAACAAACATAATTATCTTCACAGTTATGCCACCTTTCTCTTGTTTTTCTAGCTCCACTGTTACTCGCATCTGAGACTATATTGCAGTAGAAGTAAAATTAAGTAATGATTAATTACCATCTGTATGGTCGAACCTCTGTAAAGTAAAACATTACAACCGTACTCTTTTAAAATAATTATTAAATTTAATGAATTAGTAGCGGTCCATGGGGAGTGTTGTTATAAATGAGAGTTACTACAATATTTACGCAACTCACTAACGTACTAGTAATGGTGAATCATTACAGTCAGGGTCAGATACTGAGGGGACTTAAGGCACACACAAATATACAAACACGATAGATACTGTATGTTTGTTTGGGTTCAGACACACAAGATGTTTCACTTCTTCTTCTATTTATAGCCCATTTTATCCATTAACAGAAGCAGTGAAGCCATTTGACCTCCGTGAAGGAACGCCAGGGGTCATCATGCCCGTTTTTTTTGGGGGGGGGGTCGAGCATCTCTCCAGTGTCAGAGAGACAGAGACGCGACACTGGGTGCGGTTTGTTAAATGCCCGACACTCACTTGTATTGTTTCAAAAACACGGGGGGACATCTGGCACTGGCCATTCAGCCCAGTGTTGAAGTCTTCATCCTCTTTCTCAGGCAGTGAGCTGTGCAGCATTGAAGCACTAGCTGCATATTCTCATGCTAATACCCCAATGGACAGGAGCAGATGCGAAACATTTGGTTGTGTTCTTGTTCACTTGTAAAGAGATAATGTGCCCTGTTATCAGGATTTCACTCTTTTGTCCCTTTGCATGTCATAAAAATGTTCATGGCTGAGGCCAACTTCCTTGGTGGCCCCGACATACAGCAGCTTGTGGTAGAAATTGGTCTGGATCCCTGTATTTTTTTTTAAAGGTCAGATGAATAATTCTCTGTAACTTCACACTTCTTGCTGCGGCAGTAACTTCTAGGGAATCCTGTGTGTGACAAGTGACGTCCAGAGCTGCACCTGCCAGATATTTTCCAAATCAGTTAATCTGTCAATTATTTCCCTGCTTAATTGACATCATTACTTTTACAGCCACTCTGTCATTTTGTTTACAACATAATTGCTGACAGCATCTGTTTACAGCACAACAGCAGCATGTGCCAGTGCCACTATGTGCACTCAGTGTGACGCTCCCTCCACTCTGGTGTATATTGCACTTGTATATGATAATATTGATTCTACTGTTAATGCTCCTTTAACCCTACATTTATAATTGAATGCAGTATTAACTAAGGCTAAACAGTACTAAGAGAAGTAATGTAGTTTTGCATCTGATTGCTTTCTATTTTATACTTTTTATGCTCACTGAAATGTGCTTTATTTTAATATATCCCTAATATTAGCTTTAACATATCTGAAGCTAGACATTAATCTGTTGCAATAAACTTGTCATGAACATTAACCCGACAGTAAATCTCCGTTCTCTACAAATATATGTTTACCATTTTCTTATTGCATATTTTTGTATATTATGTTTATTAATATTTTGGGGTCACTTAAGGCAAACAAATCAGTCAGTCAGTCATCAAACCAGTGTATATTCACATCTATGAATCGGAAGTTATTGTTTTATTCATTAAAACAAAGTCAGTGTCTCAAAAGTTGTTTTTGAAATGTAGAGATTCGTTTGTAAATTATTCACTTTGTTGCAAGGATATTTATATGTATGCTTACATTTATGGTTATTTAAATGTTAATTTCGTGCACTTCCTGAAGGGAGATTGTTTTTCAGAGCACAAAGAGGAAAAACTCACGGCACGCTACGTTTAAATATGAATGTTTGCCGGAAAAAGTGGTGTTTTAGTAAACTTTATATAAACACGTCATGGCACGATGAGATTTTCCAGTGCTGCCGCCTACTTATGACCTGATTGGCTCATGTCTGCTCCTCTCTTTTGTGATTGGTCAGTGACTTATCTGTCAAACCACCTGACACGGACAAGTTTACAACTATACACGTGTGGCTGGTGCGTCGGGGCTGGACTGGTGACATCTTGCGCACAGCATCTGGGACGAGACGGTCAGTACCTGAGGTTTAAAGAAGTCTCCACTGTCTTTAACCGACTCTTTCATTTCGTCTCTTTGTCTCCTCATCCCCGTCTCACCTGGGTCTGCAGCAGGTGTCACTAAGCATTTCTGTTGGAGGAGCTGTCTCCACACTGTTTTGGTGCTTTCTTCATGGAAAGAAGACCGAACTATGTGCGCAAATTAGCATGGATGTGGCTGCAGCGCCCACCGTCCAGGCACCGGCATGGCTTTTAGCCGCATCCGCAAACTGGACTCTGCGTCCCGGGGAATGTCCAGGACGGCGGCGGTCATGCTCTGCTCCTGCCTCACCTCCCTATTTCTCCTCCACTGTCTCAGGATCTCCAGCAGCTCACCTACTCCGCTCAGAGCTCGGGCCGTGGGGCTTCTAGAGAACCTGCGGTCGCTGAGGACCAGACGGCTGGTGCAGGAATGGACGTTAGGGTCGCAATTGGAGCGCTACGGTTACGCACGGCGACCCAGGGATGAGGCGCCGCAGCCGGAGGAGACTCTCATCCTGCCTCCCCTGGACTTAGTTACCTCCGGGAGGGTGTCGTCGCCGAGGTTCGCAGGTAAACTCAGTCCGCTCGGGGAGGGGAGTAAGAAGCTGCCCCAGGCGCTCATCATCGGGGTGAAGAAAGGAGGAACACGCGCTCTGCTGGAGTTTCTCCGGGTTCATCCAGACATCAGGGCGGTGGGAGCGGAGCCGCACTTCTTCGACCGCAACTATGACAACGGGCTGGAGTGGTACAGGTGAATATGGCACAATTCTAATACAAAATCGTTTTATTTTACAGTTTTGTGTCTGGAATTTAGGGGAATTATATTTAATGTAAAACGTCATGATTATACAAACGTTAAGGGCTTTTCTTACGAAAAATGTAGTAAAATGATAAGACATTTAGTAAGATATTTGAAAAATGAGGCAAAAAGTAAAATATGTAATGATACAAGTCACAAGTATGAGATAAACAGCAGAAATTATTATAAAACTTTAGAACAATGTTATATTGGGCAATAATATTAGTGACAAAATAAATATTCAAAATAGTAACATAATGTCATAGGTATGCGATACTAGGGTGTGTGGCTAAATTACAATAATAGTGAAAATGTTATAATTATCAAGTCAACTGCTTAGAAATTATTATAGAGCGATACAAAAGTCATAACTATAAGAAAAGGTACAATTGACACGAAAAAGTTTAAATATTAAAATGAAAAAAAAATTACAAAGATAAACAATGTGTCCAAGTTGTATTTAGGTACACATGCATTACTCCCAGGTACTTTTGTATTGGAAAGTTTTATTTAACCTCTTAGTAGTGAGCATTAAACCTACAAGTTCAAGTTTGGATCTTTATTTTGGATTATTTGGATTATTATTAGTTTATTCATTCTAACATTAAAACGCCATTGTACTTTTTTATCTCATAATTTTTACATACATCTCAATTACACAATAATTACTTTGTATCTAACAATATTTTTACATACAGAAATGACCCGCCCCCACCCCCATTATCTTTGCACATTTATGTCAAAGTTAAACGTTAAATATAATCCTACAAACTCAGACTCATGTGTGTATTGTCATAAGTCATTAAACTGCCATGATGATTGATGGTGTTTTCCCAAAAGGATTTCAACTAACTCGTAATGTTCAACTTGTTATTTGACGTGTCACGTTTATGACACACAAGTCATTTTCTAATTATCAGTCTGACTTCTTTCTGAAATGGTACAAACGGTTTTCATACGTATGAAACTCAGGTGAAGGGGTGAAATACATGCAGACAAAGTTGGACCTCACTGTATGTTGTCATAAGTCATTATATTGCCATTGTGATTGATGGTGTTTTGGTAAATTCCTATAGCTTAGAACAGATAAGGATTTGTCTACGTAACCTCCAAATCTGTATTTAACATCGCAGCCTTTAGAGAAGTGGTCTGTCTGTTGATTTATTACCTTACAATCAACCTGCTTTTATAAGATGTTATCAGGCAGCTCATTTTGCTGCACATTTTAGGCTTGACTGCCTTCAAGTGGTGGTGTTCTGGGCTGCAGTGATTAGTCTGAGAATTAAGAGGCTAAAAAAAACAGGACTTGAACTTTTCAGAAAATTTGGATTAAGCATTTTCACTATAGGAGAACTGACTCTATCACTGTGTGAACATTCTCCCAGGTTTAGGGAAGTTGTAGTCGTGACTGCTGACTGTTTCAGAAGAGTTCTCTACAACGTATGAACTCACATAACTATAAACTGCACTTCTCTTTCTAAGGGCCAAACCCAATGTTAAATGTGGACACGGATACTTAAACTTAAATAGAGTCAAAAATATTGTGCCACAAAAATTCAACAAAACTGCAATGTACTTCAGTTGTAAATTGAGCAAACAGAACTTGTTTTCTATCTCCAGAGGATTTTTTTTACTGCCCTGAATTCTCTTTGATGGAGAAAATCACAAGTTCTCGCCGTTCTGGACCGTTTTATTCAGATGATGTATTTTCAGTCAGAAATTCCAGCGTAGTTGACTGAATCGAATCATAAGAAAAAGTCCAAACTCTCCCGGTCCTCAAGGAGGAGTGTGCTCCTCGCTTGAGTCGGGTTTTGTGATTGATTTTATCTGTCACTGCGAGTGTGTGAGTGAGCGTTGTGTTCACATTTCCACAGGCCAGGGGGGAATAAATGGCTCCCCCTCTCAGTGGTTCTCTGTCTAATGGGGCATTGCCGACATTGCAGCTCTGTTATTAAGAAGGATTAGGGCCATAATGAAAGGTTACCTGAGTGTCTCAGGAGGTATAATTCACCTTCTGATTGAGTTAGCACTGCACACAGCGCCCACTAAAAGCCTGGAGACAAAACTTTTACTCTCGCTCACCGACAACTCCCTTCACACTGCCGTGACTCACCCCCTCCCCGCTTCCCCTTCAACTCCCTCTCGTCTCCCGTCTCCCACTCACACACCTCCCTGTTTGTGCCTCTCTGAGATTGAGCATTCTCTTTTCACCATCACTCTTTCACACCCTTCTGTTTACCTATTCATCCATTGTGAGGTTTTATATCCATGAGGGTCCCATCCATCCTGAGCTGTTGCCAAGATTCTCTGGAATTTGGACCGTTCCTGCCAGGACGGAGCTTGGTGCCGCTTGGACTTAATGGCGTCTATTAAAAAAAAAAAAAAAAAAGGACGGTCCTCTGCCTTTAAAAGAGGAAGAAATAACTTCTCCAACAGAGTCACCCGCTCTGCTGGAGTTCATCTTTCCTGCTCAGTCTTCAACACCTTCAACTAGGAAGTTGAAGGTGTTGATTGCTCTGCTAAATACTTTTTACAAGGTTGAGTAGTCTTAATTCTTTGGGGTCTGATCATTTCACGGATGTGAATCTGTGTTCAACTCCTCAGAAATATGGCACATCACAAAGCAGAATGTGCAACACGCAGAAGTAAAACTCTAAAAGAAAGGGCTGCAAATACCCTCGGAAACTGCGGTTAAGTAGTGTAAAGGAAAAGACCACTCTGCACCAAACAAGGCCAGATTTCCTGTGACTAATCACTGTGTCCAATTTGTGTGAATTATGCAATTCCCTTCATTAGCAACAGCGAATACTTAAAACACACAAGCTTCCGTCTCTGGAGACGCTTTGTTTATTGTGGAGGCTGATATGTGTCCTTGGCATGAATCACTGTTCTCAGTCCCTATGGGAATGTGTGGAACATACTTTTGCACCTCTAAGCTCATAATGTGACATGGCCACATCTACAACCATCTTTTCCAACTCTCCCTGAATTATACTTGTCTGGGTTGTTGTGAGAATTTCCAACAAGTGTCTTAAACCATCGACAGAAAGGCGTGATGCTGAAATCACTCCGTTGCTGTTTTGACAGTGTTGTCAGTGCGTTTCACAAACTTAAAAAATTCTCTCACGGTCTGCCTTTGTTGAGACCATGCTCTATATTTTATATATTTTACATGAAATGTTTTATTATATGGGATATACAAATATATATAAATGTATGTAAATAAAATATATGTAGCACAGCAGCAAAACAACTCAGAGGCAGCTCGTGATTTTATAAGAAAAGCAGTGTATTGATTATTATTATGAAGCTGACAATGACCAGGCCACACACTTTGTATGTAAGCCGGCCAGCTCTATGACAAAACAAAATAATACTACATATGTGCGCGACACTGTGGTGCGTTCAAGGCAGTCGGGCCAGTGGAACAGCTGAACACAGAACAGTTATTTTAAGGAAGCACATATAATCCAACATGTAAAGACACGTCTCTGTGGCGTCTCCAACATCTTTGACTAGTTTGATCAGTTTAATTTTGTCAAGCACACTGCTGTTTCATGTAACTTGATCAAAGTTTTCAACTGCCAAAAGTAAACAATCTTGAAATAGGAGCAAACATCTCAAAATCTTTTTTTTTTACTGAACTTACAAAACCTGTTTAGATAATTAAGCTTATTAATTAGCTTTGCAACAGTTTGGTTTAGTCTGCTATAAAAGACATCCCCCATAATTCCAGAAGGAAGGATTTTTTCAGTGTGTTCAGTTGTGATCTAAGAACATAGAGAGAAATGTCTTTGTTCGTTTTTATATTTTTTTTGTCATAAAATTTGTTTGTCATAAAACTTTTTGACCTATTTGTAAAAAAGATCCTCTTTCTTTTCCCCTTCTTCTACCTTTTTTTTCTCACCGCTGTATTTCACCAGGCTCCTTAGTAAAACCAGGCCTTTTGTTAAACAGGAAACCAACACCAGCCAGTCAGTCAGTGTTACATTTCACTGCACATTTCTTGACGGCTGTATCTGTATAATCACACACAACCTGTTGGGCTTTTGTTGTGGAAATGGACACTCAGATTGAACATGGGGGTCAAGCACAAACACCGTCAACTGAAGCAGAGGTCCATGCCAGAGTCTAGTCACGATTATGTTTTAGGCCGTCTTGGGTTACTGAGCACCCAGTTTTCACATGTCTAGACCCAGCCTGTGGCGCAGTTGTCGTTTGATGTCTGCAGACCGGTTAGATCAGGCTACACCAGATCCCTTAATGGGTGAATTATCCTTCAAAAGAAGAAAGAAAAAGAAAACAAAACACGTGTGAGCCGGTAAAGACAAGAACAATGCGCTTCAACTCTACCACAGGCATATTTGTGGAGATGCAAACAAACACGGGCTTCACTTACACACAAATGCACTTATTCTTTCGCTTTCATTTAAACACACCCTTCAGCAGCACGGAACCTGGCCTCTGAAAATCGGCAGGGTAACAAAAATGACAGTACTTCATAGATATCTTAATTTCCAGAACGGTTAATAGAAGAAAGAATATATATATATATATATATATATATGTATGTATGTATGTATGTATGTATGTATATATATATATATATATTAATTAGTTATATTTGTTATTCTAATTTATTTAAAAAATACCTAAATGTATTTTACTTTATCCATGTTGCAGATACATATGTATGCATATATACGTATATGTGCACATATACGTATATATGTGTGAAAGGTCTGCAAAATAGCTAGATTTTCCAGTTCCACATAAATGGCCTCATTTTTGATATTACTGTAATAGTAATCAAAATAAATTACCTTAAATGCACAAAAAGCAATGAGTACACTGTTGAGTACTACTACGGTGTACCTCATACGTGTTTGTTTTACCCCTTGATATTCGCCCCTGTTGCTCACAGACAGTTTGACGCCCTGTTGTGAATGTGT